ATATTTCTAAAAACAATTAAAAAATCATGTAGTGTATGCGTTAATATAGGTACTTTCTCGAAATAGAAATAAAAAAATACAACTAAAAGATAAATTATTTTGATGGATTTAAGTGATRTTTAACAACTGCGGAAACAAATCGTTGAATATTATTGTCATAAACTGTAGGTAGTAATAAATATATATTTTTTACAATAAAATCACGAATACGGTCGTTTAATAAAATTAGCTACATATAGAAACAAATTTTGTTTCATAATTATTCAGTCCTAAAATTAATTTTATAATATATTAGTATAGTTATAATTTTACATAATATGATTTATATACATTATCTATAAAATATATAAATTTGTGTACAAGAAATTTACAATGTATATCATTTGATATAATAAGAATATGAGCCATATGAAAAATGTATAACTAAATAATAAATCCCAGGTATTAGTCATATCATTTWACAAACAATAATAAATTAATTAAAACTATAGATATCGGTATAAAAAAAACAAACTTAAAAGCAATCACGCAATTATAAAATGTTGTACTTTATTCTGCTAATTAATAGTAATATTCGCTTTAAACTAGTTATTTTTACACAAATTYCAATTAAAACCACTGATTGACTTGTGTTAAATTCGTATTCTCCATGTAGTAATAGATTAAATTATAATAATTKAACACAATATTATTATGATTTACCATGTAACAAAACGTTATTTTGCACAGTGGGAGCGGACTTCTTCACCATTGACGAGATGACTGGTGCCGTTCACGTGAAAAATCCCATCGACAGAGAGGCGTACTCGTTCGAAGACATGGAAGAACCGTCCGTATACTTGAGGCTAAAGATTCACTGTTCTCCTTTRGACGATACGCCAGCCGTTCAGCCTCTACATTTGTCGGACGTGGACCAAATTGTCTACGACCCAACTACGACGTTGGTACAATTGGTCATCGTGGACATTAACGACAACGTGCCAGTGTTCTTCGACAAGCATATARTCGTCGGGTATCCCGTGCAGGACGTGGCTAAAGAAATTATACCMAACCACCTCCTACAGGTCAAGGTAAATAATTATTGACCACCGATTAGTATTAGGTATATTTTATGCGTTATATAAGTACTAAATAACTATAATAGTTGACTGGAAACTTTTGCAATCATCATAATAGGTTCGTCCATATCTAAAAAAAGCAAAAATAAAATGTAGGTACAAAAAATCGTATAGTCAGATGAAGAGTGCAATACTGTTGTTAAAAATAAGTTCGTTCCATACAATACGGTCTTATGTATTAATTACCGACTACAGATGTATTTTGGTGACCCTTACTATTACTAAATATTATCATTTAGTACTCTATATACATAAACCATATTTAAAAATAGTATAGAAAGACCCATATTCCATGTATACTATATTGTAAGTATATTATAATTTATAACACAATATATCGACACAGATTTCATGTAGGTACGTACTTCTGGCAGTTTTATCTTAGTTTTTTTTTTCGTTTATGCGTTTAAGTCTTTTGAAATAATTACAAAACAGTTCGATGTTATATAACCACATGTGACTGAACGGTCAATAGAAATTATCGAATTAACTGGCAGTTATACCTGGTTATCGATACACATCTCTCTATATTCGACGATTATCTTCGAGACAATCACTATATACGTCCGTCATTCAATTTATATGCGAAAATCATTGTCTGTATACCCGCTTATTCCTGTACATGAAACAGGTACACAGGCTTAGCGCAAGTTATCTAACAATTCACGTTATAATATATTATTTAAAACATCTAATGAGTCTGGTACTTTTCAAAGATCTAAATACATTTTAGTTTTTATTCCTATCAAATAMAACGTTTTTTGTTCAAAAAGAGTGTCAACAAAACATAACTTATCTAGATATAGTATTGAGTAATATTATATGGATTATTAATACTCGTGCTCGTGTGTACGTATCAAGTTTTCGCATCAACAACACGTGTGAAAGTAAAACGTTTTATCGGGTATCTACCTTATAATATATCTAGGTACATTAAACATTACATTTAAACACTATCGACGTTTTAGATAMATCATGGTCAACAAATTTAGTGAACTAAATATTGTTATGTTATTAATTATATTACACAGGTTTGTATGGCTATATTTAAATGTGCATATATCATCCACGAAAAATGTACAAGGTCGATCGATATTATTATTATTATTATTAGGTACTGTACCTATATACCTGCTACATTGTCGCGGTTGTGATTTAAAATTGCGCGCGGGGTCTAGGTCACGCACGACATAAATTTACTGTGACCGGACATCGGAAACGTCGTTGTACTAAATATATATATATATATATATATATGTATTACTCTGTATATTAGAACGTAAAATGTGTTTGACGTGGTGTATTTGAGTCGATCTAGTTTATAATAGTATATAGGTATATAGGTAGGTACAAAGCGCAGACATTCAAGGCAAAACGGACGCCTTAAATAGACAACGGTGACGATGACGACGACGACGGAGCGATTATTACATGGCCAAAACATGCAGGTTCAGGTCGAATCGTATTATTATTATAAAATCGCGTAGACTGCAGTACTGCCTATGTGTGCCGTGTGCCCACTGTTGTTATGAAAAAAATATCACCCCAGCGGCGGCGGTGGTCGTAAAAATTATTGGTTTAGAACAGTCTCGCGTGTAACCGCAAAATAAAACTAYGAACAGCTATAATGAGTACCTGCAGCTGTCATGATCCTCTCAACTCTCAACTGCACTGCAAGTACCAGAGTGTTCGACACCATATATAATAGTATATAATATTATTCTAATGCACTTATAATATAGGTATTTAGTTGTTAGATACACATCAGATTATCAAAATATCATTATTTTATTATTATTATCGAGAGCCCGAAGCAGCGTGGTAGAAATCACCCGCGGCCGACGCGATGTTTTTTCAATTTTTGCAATCGCGTTTCGCGGCGTCTGGTCTGTCCATTATTATTATTATTACTATTATTAGTAGTATTGTTATTACTATTTTGTTTTCGTCGAGCCGTGATTAATCGACTACGACGAGAAGAAAGTCGTATATCGCTTAAGCTGCCTACACTGCACTCTGCATCAGTGGAAGTATCTATTATAATATTATATAATATATATGTGTATACTGTATATAGTATACATATACCTAATATACATACTATAGTCAAACTCACAAACTATATATAGATACGCTGGATATATTGCTGCGCGAACGTATAATAATAATATACACATATATATAATATATATTGTGTATGTGTGTGTAAAGTGTACACGCAATTTAATAATTATTATTATTTTAGCTATTGTTTTCTACAAAATCATATAGTAATACATCACATTATTTTTTATAATATTATATATTATTATTATTATTATTCGTATTATTATTGTMCGCGACAATGTTAACATTTATCGAGGTTTGCCTCTTCTTTTTGACCTTTGACAGTGTCAAACAATGTTTATTGAATATTGATTTATGCACAGTACGTATTATTTAGATCCATAACAATAAATTGCATCCATATTGAAATGATAATATCATATTACAACTTTATGGTTTAATGGTATTTACTACCTACTCCTCATTCAGACAAGTGTTTAAACATCAGCGGCGCCAAATAATCGTAAACACTAATATTGATTTCTTTTTAGGTTTTACCTATTTGACTACCCATTAAATTATTTACAGGCTCTTCCGAACTCCGAATGACTTTGAAATGGTGGAGACTATTCCAGTTCTTACACAATTCCTATAATTTTTGTCTCACAACATTTTGGAAACCCTATATCAGGGGTGGGCAACTGGCGGCCCGCGAGCCTTTTTTATCTGGCCCGCGCTACATTTTCAAATTGCATTAGGTATAGGTATACAATTTTAAACTTTATCGTCTATACTCTGTAATCTATAATGTCTAGTATAGTGTATACTCTATCTTATCGATATAATAATTGTTATCTGGTATTGAACATTGTTAAATGTATAAATGTCACAATATAGTTATAGTAGGTAGGTATATAAATATTTAATTAAATTATTTTTAATAACGCTTTTTGTATTACTTATGTCCTATTTCATTATAAACAAAATAAATGCTATTTAAAATGTATATTTTGAATGACCTTTTTTTTTTTTTTTGCTTTCTATGCTCTGGCCCGCTATATTTTACATTTCTAAAAATTGGCCCTATAGTAACTGTGAGTTGCCCATCCCTGCCCTATATCAACGTATAACAAATATTGTATAAAGGGGAATTTTTTTTTGATAATTATTCACGTTTTATTTGAACATAAAATACAAACTATAAATACAATATAAATAGTAATAAATAATTTATTCTTGTTAAAAATGTAACTCTATGTATTGTAATACTTAGAAAAAATGCAACTATGAAATGTGTAATCAAAAATTCATGACATTGTTTAACAAGCAAACACTTTTTTAATTATCATGGTAAAAATACTATTTTTTACAGACTTCAGATATTTTCAAAAATGTTAATAGTTTTTGAAATGACGATTTAGTGAGAATAACGGTGTCTTACGTATACTCGTAATTAGTTAATGTATGTCTGAAATGTACGTCTGAATACTGATACAATAATATAATATACTTGGTATTTTGTGAACACATTAAATTATTCTTTCGTGTAAAAATCAAATGAAATATTTAAAATTTTCTTAAAATTCTAATATACAGCTAATAACAACGATCTATAGTACAATTTAATAATTAAATAATGTCTTGACAATGGTTATAATCGATAGGTTATATTATCAACTCATGTCATTATAACGAACGGTTTGTTTCATTGCTAATTCAGTATTTTATGCTTAACATTAGACTACAAATATTTATCACTGCCACAGAGATTGATTTATTTTACTTATTAATTCATGAAATATTTATGCCATTACATACTATCTTAATTTTCGCATATATTTTAGTAAACTATTTTGCAAAACAATGTCATTTATAAATTTCATATCACGAACGCTATTTTTCATTACCTATTACGTATTAGTACATTTATTTATTTTCACAATATTGAGTAAGTATACTATCCCTTACAAGGCCACATTTTTTACAATTGTTGAATTTATGTTTTAAAAACAGCATACACTGCAGAATAAATGAAAACTTAAGTTTTCCATATTTTCTGTATTTCTGTAACTCTGCATATAAAAGCAAAACAAAAAAAACGGGTGCAACTATAATTTATTTTGTTACACAACTCGCCTTTATAAGATTTGAGAAGGGCTGCAAATACCTAAAAAGGGTATGTTTTCTGTGTTAAAAACTTGGAAGTAAAATAAGATGCAAAAATATTAACTTTAAGTTGTAAATGTATGATATATTTTTTAATTTTATGTTTTAATTTTTATGAATAGCATCATCCATGTCTTATATTTTCTATAGTCATATTTTGTAGAAAAAGACTTTTATATTATTTTTAAATGATATGGTTTACATACTATTTAGATTTTTCTAAAATTCAAATATTGGTTATTAATATTAAAAAAAAACTTTAAAAAGGTAACTACTTTAAGTGATAATCTTACTTTTTTATAATATTATACTTCAAATGTGTACCTACATATAAAATTTAATTATATTGTCTCTATTTTTAACTTTTACTATATATACGTTTTAATGTCATACATAACGTATGTACTATATAATCAAACAATTCTTCAAATTAAACCTTTAATATTTCAATTAAACCTACTAGAAACCCCACGCAATAACATGATACATTTAGATTGTAATCAGTTCAAAAACTAATCTGTTGTTACTTATACCATTATACCTATTGTGTTGCACATTATACCAACAGTTAACATAATAGGAGGTTACAATCAGTGCAGTTTATTAAATAGTATGTGTGATTATATATATTACGTGTGTAATGTATATATTTAAATATCGGCTTGTCGGATTTATGGTCATCAGATTTATATTGAAAAAAAATATTGAAGAATATTATTTTATTTTACGCTAGATATCAACTCAACATAAATTCATTGTATTAATATATTATATTCATCTTTTGACTCCAGAATACCATTAGTAGGTTTAAGGTTACCTATATTCAGTAAGATATCGCGGACAATATGGCACTGTATAGAATATTTTTTAAATTGTAAAACTGTCTTTTAGTAGTTTCATTTCTGTAAGTTTCAAGTATAAAAACTAAACACCGATAAAGATTACTATTATGTTTACAAAATTTTTATTTTTATAATTGTTGAGCTATAATTGTTATACTACAAAAAGCTAAGAAAAATGACAAAAAATTTAAAAATTATTATTACATTTTTACTTTATTTTATAGTAATTGCTGACATATAACAATAATATTTATTAAAATATAAATCCTAAATTCGATGTATGGTACAAACTAAAAATAAAAATGAGCATATTATATTTGATCTTGTTTAAATAAATATAATATGTTATAACGAAATGATTAGCTTGTGAAATCTAAGATAATAGATGAAGTTCTAAAACAAAAAAATATCGAATTATATTAAGATGTTAAAAAAACCTTTTTATCATTGTATATTTAATAAAAAAGTGCTGCTTCGTAAAAATGGTTAAATTAAACAACATTTCTAAACATTAAAAATTATTTTGTGTAGTAGACAATACTCAAAAATTCATTTTTGATTATTATGCAGATAGAATGTATACAATTATAATAAAATATGTTCCAACTCGATTTTATATTCTTCATTTAAATTATTATTAAATACATAAAATATTCATGTTGTAGAAAATTGTTCAATCAACTCTCGTACTATACACTTAGGTGTTTATATTTATGCTCATTTTTCACGAGTATTTGTAAGTTTATTTTGATAGAAAAAAATTTTTTTTTTCATTCCGAAGGTGAATGTTTATTAAATTGTTTTTTATTAATAAAAATTAGGTTTTTAGTGATTGAGTCAACAAATCAATAATGTGTTATAGCATTATATATCGTTGTATTGTATTATACATTTGAATGCAAACCATTTATTTTATATTTATCTTGATATCGTGAACTATTTGTATTTTCATATTTTGTTAACTGTAAACCCAATAATGGTTTTAAAATTTCATAACATAACTGCATTTATTCTTTCTTGTCAAACTTTTTTATTGAATTCTGTTCAAAAATGTCCAAAAAGTTTTTTAATCATTATACTCCTCATATATATCTTTTGGTCGTTATAAATGGTACATGCTTTCTATCAAATATAATCTGTAGGGAAGACAAATTGTGTAAACATGTTTGTGTAAACTTCTTAAATTACTCTGAAGAAAAGAATTCTTTCTCTAAATTATATATAAGTCGAATAAAAATATATTTGTTCAACATACCTATGTCTGTTTTCTGTTAAGCAATATATATAATACGTACAAGCGTTAAAAATGCAGTTATATAATGCTTACCAACACATATTATGATGTACTTACATAGTATCATAAAGCTTATTGTTTTCTTACCATTTAGTACGAAAATATAATATAACATGAACGTAAAATAACAATGACGAATGGAATGGCATAACATAGTAATTACAAAATATCTATTATAAGCATCATTTTTTTTTTTTTTTATTGTTTGACGGTTTTGGGTTTCAGGCGACAGACAAGGACGCGGGAAAACACGGAAAAATACAATACTCACTGAGAGGAGATGACGCTAACGACTTTATCATTAACTCAGAGACAGGAACAGTATACTGTACTAGTCTGGTAGACGACAGCACTGTGAGCAAATCATTTGAGGTGGTGGCCAAGGACAACGATGGTAAATCCGACGGATCCGAGTCCATGCTGGCCATTACCGTAAGCATCGGGGGATTCAGTGGCGTGACAAATTTAACATTTTCCAGAGGCTAGTTTGATATTTTACCCACCCTGCAGCACCAATGACCTAACAAAAGCAGTCACTGTAATATTTTTAACTTGTCATTATCATTACTATACAATATTATTTCGATACCTAATTAACACAAAATTACCACCAATTGCTCGTTACTTACGTACCCATACCTTTAAAAGAAAATCAGATGTAAATAGCCTTTCGATCTCTTCCTTCGTCACGCCATCACTGTTAGATCGATCTATATTTACCACATCGTATAATATACATAATACATGGTAGTATTGTGGACGCATTGTTTGACGGTCTGTGTGATGGGGGGGGGATGAATAGAATTTTGAAATATTTGAGGATTTTAAGATAACTTGGCATCGTGGTGCATATATTTTAAACGATTATCAAATATTACCTATACAATGAACTTAAAATAGGACCTTGGTCGGACGATTTCAGGTGAAGTTCCTGACGTTTTCGGACATCGTCAGGGTGAACGTCCGGTTCAGCACCACCGAAGACAACGCAGCCGTCGAATCACAGCTATCCGAAATATCAGGGGTTAGAGTCATGTCACTTACCAACGACGTAATCAACACGTTCATAGACGGGCAGTGGCGCACCGAGAGGATGATGATCGTGTATGGGGTGAACAACTCAGATAATTCACTGGTGCTGGGATCGAATTTGGAAAAGTCAGTGGAAATGATTTATATGACATAAAATTTTAAAAAATTAAATTAATTTAATGTTAATTAGTATCCCCTTCGAAAAATTAGTTTAGATGGGCTTATGATAAATTATAAATTTAATAATGCGAATTGCTATTAAAAATTATTGTAAAAATCCTGAAAGTAGAACCTGGTCGGCGCAACTTAGAAAAGTAATACTAATATCATATGGTCTATACAGATAATTTCTTAGAAAACGGTGGAAGTGAAAGGTTGAAGTTATTTTAGCGAACTTCCTTTCAAAAAAATAATTTATAGATTAATTAAGCATTTTATTTAAAATTTATTTTTATACGCCTGGATATGACATTGAAATATAAGCATAATATTGCATGTATAATTGTTCAGACATTTAGGACAGAACGACAAAGTTTTGAGTATAACTCAACTATTCGATATGAGCGCCAATAGCGAATCAAGCACCATGATGTCCTTAGTGTATGCTGCGATGTTTTTCCTGATGCTTTCAATGGTAGCCGTGGGTCTGTTATATTTTGGATACGTCAAGTGAGCACACGCATTATGTAAACTTAATAATTTAAAGCTAAACAATTGAATGATTTTTTTTTTAACTCAGTTAAATTAATTTTAATTACTAAGAAAAAATTGAAAGTTAATACACAAGTTTTTTAAATAAAACACTAGCTTAATTTATTTTTTACGAACTTTGAACTGTTTTTTTTTTATACAGTATGTCTATAAAAAGCTGCATAATTTCTTACTTACTAAAAAACTAAATACCAAACGTTACCAAAATATTTGATGATATGAAAACAAAATGAATTAACTTAATTTCTTTAAATAAAAATTGAATTCATTGATTTCTTGTTAATTAAAAAATAATTAAATCAAGTTAAAAGAAACCCGAAAATAACTATAGTTAAGTTATAAAAATTAAATTAAATAACTTTTGTAAGTTGTCTTTAACCTTTTGACTTTTTAATATTTAGCTTTGCATATTATTATATGTATTATTATAACGCGCAATTTATTTATGTTTATATTATCAAAATGTACGAATCATGTTGAAAAAAAAAAATAAATGTAAAAACAGTTCAGACCACCTTTTGTCAATTTTACTACCGAATAATGTTCATCCAAATAACGTTATGATTTTATATGTCATATAGGAACGGCCGTTACTTGTCATGTATTTCGAGTCCGTCTACGACGCCGCTGAAAGACGATATCGAAAACATGTGAGTACCTTTAGCTACGTACAGGCCGTATAACTCGGCCATTTATCGAATGACTGGCCCACGTAATGATATTATTTTAATAATAATATATAAATTATATATACATAATATTATAACATAGGTACCACGTGCATATTGCGTATACATGTAATATTATATCATTGTACGTCAGTTTAAACCAGTTTTTTATTTATTATTATTATTATTATTTTTTAAACATTCGCAGGAGTCAGAGCAACTGGATTACTACTTTCAACAGAACCAACCTGACATCCAATAGAGTACGATTCCCGGGGTGATTATAAAATTATTTTTTATTCATTTTATTCATTTTATCGCCGCGATATATCAGAGCAGCATCATATAATATTTCGATTTTATATTGTCCAACAACACGTGGTGTTTTGTATGTTTCGCAGAAATATCAACTCCGAGGCGATGTTGTGTCGAACTAAAATTCCGGACAACGCAACCGTAATCGTGGAGAACAGCCTGTACGAGGCCATACCACCAAAAGGAACTTGCAACGCCGCCGTCTTGGCCGTGAATAATAATTCCTCGATAGTTAAACTTGAGTAAATATTCAAGGAGCCCCAAAAATAATAATAATAACATAAACCTAAGATAATATACTGCGTGGTTCTATTGAAATTCATATTATATAGTTTTATTTTATTTTTTAGTTCTAAGGTATCCTTCGAAGACGACTTGATAAAGTTAGAAAAAATGGATGGTGCGCTTTCGCCCACGGACGACATGTCTTTTAACTATTGAGAATCGGACTGCCCGCGATGGTATAAAAACACTATAAGACGTTCGATAGTGGTTCCGGTTCGACGTGCACATTTTTTTCTTATCCGGATAGCACTCTCCGTACACAGATTTCTATACACCTATAACACCTATTACCTATATAATACCTACTGTTAATATGATAATTGTATATTATGTTTAAAACACGTTTACGAGACCTTACAATACTTTTATAATATGTTTGCACATGTTTTAGTCGTTCAATAGTCACCTTGAATATTGATAAGTCCTTGCCCAATACTATATTTTATGTTTATAATATTATATACTCGGAAGCTCACTCAATTTATTAAGCGTATAATATCAACGGCGTTAAAAACCGTTACACTTTTTTGCAAATAGGAGTGGTAATATTTTTTCGATGATATTACTATTATATGAACCTGTTATTAAATTCAACGATTCGCCAACTTCAAAAGTGCTTACCAATCACCTTGTAACACATATTTTATAATACCGATGCAGAATTTAATTAAGATAATAGCCCGTGTACACAAACACTGGTAATACCTTTAATGTACGTGCGTGTGTGTGTGTGCATAGATCAATTTTTAATTATGATTAGTTGTGTAATTTTGAATTTTCGATTTACCATGAAAAAACTGTGCTGCTCGTGGCTTGCTTTAGGGTCAAAACGTGCTCGGCTATACTTGCATTGTTGGCAGAAATTAATCTATATTAAAATCCTATTATCAAAACGATAGACTTGAGAACAAGTGAGTCGAATCATTTAAATATATTGCACTGTTTTGTATAATTCATTTAAGGAACGTATAATAATTAAACTGAGACTATACACCACAATATTTCGTATAGTACAACTAAACTATAAAATGTCATATTACTTTAAAATTTATAATAAAACTATAAACAAACTATTTTATGATTAAACTTTATTGATTTTGGAGAAGCTCAATAACATTTAGCATTTTCAAATTTTAATCATACTATAATCTTTTTTTATTTTCGTATTTTACACTTTATATTATAATATTAGTGTGAACCTCAACTAGTTTCAAATCATTATTCTTATGCTTAGGATGCCATACAAAATAATTAATTTCACATCGATCTCAATCACATGTGTTCACAAAATGACTATCAACAAAATATTAAAGGTTCTTTAAGTGTAACTTTATTTTGAAATTGCATACAGTTATTGAACCTAGTTTTTGTTTTTATATAATTTCAAATATATCAACAATTTAACCATGTAGTAGGCAGCATTACGTTTGAATAGAAAACTATAATTTTCCTTAAATTTATTCAATTCGTTTACCTACTAACAAAATGTCTAACACAAGTACACTTAAAATCTAACATTCGTCATTTACGTGAACACTAATCATTTTAAAAGAGTAGTTTTTATATCGTATTATAATTTTTCTTCTTTCATAGAGAACAATTTATTCTATGTGTATGTATTACCTAAGTTTTTATAGTTATTATTTAATTTAACGTTTATAATTTATAAAGGTATGCATAAATATAATTTTCTTGTACCCATCTTATGATAGTTATAATATTTATGTAATAAAATAGGTGTACATTTTGTTTAGTATACATTTAAGATTTTGTTTTTATACTTCGTTAATATGATTAATTGTATTAACAGCTGAATGGGATCATTTGTAAAATAATATTTACCTATATATATTATATATAAATGAAGTATATATGTATATAAAATGTTTGAATAAATATGTAAATCATAATACATTTTATGCATACGTCATGCAACGATGAACACTTAAATTTTCTTCTTTTTTTTAAACAATTACGTATTTGTATATCTGTATCTCGATAATTTAAATTGTAGAAAACAAGATACAGTTTTATTTTTCGACTTCAAAGTGTGTTCTTTCTTAATGAGTACCCAATCAATAATATTTATAGTCCACGTACACAGATATTATTCCTATTCAATGTAAACTTATTTATATAAATGTTTTAAATTAGAATTTGATTGACTTTCTATAGGATTATTAATAAGTGTGTCACACAACAAATCCGTGGACGTTTCCCAAAGGCCCGCGTGTAGTTGCCATATTTGTGCCCCCTTCAAACCGTCACCGCAGTCTCGCGGAATCCACATATTATTATTATTATTATTATTATTACCGATATGTATCGTGGTCCACTTTCATAATAGCGATAATATAAACGTTATAATTGTTATTATTATAAGCTTTGGAAAAAAATACCAAATCGATCCTAGGGTAAGGGTTTATTGGCATTCCACACGGTATGTTCAGTTACCTATATAGACACATAGACCCAGAACCATAAAGCAATATCCCATGGGTACATACTATTATTATGGATATAAAGTTATGACAGCGACGTTGCAATATCGCTTATAATAATATAATATTATAAATCGGTAATACTATATTATATATTATATGCACCACTGAAGGCGGCTAGTGCCGCCGACGAAACCGGTTCATACGGGTATAATTAGCGTTGGATTGTCATCCGCGCGCGAGATTATACAATTTGCCCAGATACATATCGAGGGAGATCGTGTACCTATATATAATAATTATTAATATCTATAATTCTTGTCTATGTATTATAATATATATTTTTTTTAAATAAAATATCTATAGGTAATGTAATATAATATAATACGAGCAGCAACAACGCGTAACACTGCACGTGAATTATCTCTCCTTCTCTCTCTCTCTCTCTCTTTATATATATATATACTTTGTATATATTTTAAATATTATAATAACCCTCCAGGGATACTCTCCTCAACAAGACTGGATCGTGATGTATTGTGTTACGGTTGGGCTGCATGCTTGTTTTGAAACGGATGCCTCGAGTATACCTAACTATAATATAATATACAGAGTGATTTAACACACAAATGTTCACCCCCTTTTTTTTCATCAATAATGCAGTGGTTCGAAATCTGATTTTCTGAACTTTCAGTATACTTAAACACTACCCACATACATAGGTATTCTCAAATCTTTAGGATTTTTTGTATGATGGAGTGCCCTGTGAGGATAAAAATGTCTTTATTTATTTTCAAAAGAACCCCTACTTTTCACTGAACATCATTCAATAAATAATTTGCTATAAAAAATTAGGATTTTAATTTTTAAAACCGATGTTTATATCACCATAGGTTGTACGGAAAATCTCAAGAATTTGTATATAATATTATGTTATCATAATATATTTAAAAAATCATAAATTTAATTATTAGTGCAAGAAATAGTTGTGAGCATGCTTGGCGGATTACTCTGCATATTGTATAAATATTATAGTAATTAAACGGTGGTGTCCTTTCTTTTTCCACTACATTGTAGCTGGTTGTCACAGTTTTTCAACCGAAATAAATAAGATAGACCGCCGAAAGCCTGACAGAACGCAAACCCTCGATTTGTCATCGACCATTATAATAGTATTATAATAATTATTGGACCTCATATGGACCTTGGTGCGACAACACTTTACCTACGGTCTATAGTGAGCCCGTGGCGGATTCCAATATTATACGCTCATAATAATACTATTATTATTATTATTCGTTTTTGGGCGGCGTGACTCGCGTTTGACCCGTCATCGTCGTACGCTCAGAGTACACGTACATAATGTTTATGGTAAAACGGTCGCCCGCGTGTAGAAGATCAAAACACACACGCTCGGCGTACGATTACGATCGCACAGCGCACATTCCGATCTCGAACGTTATTATGATTAATGACATTCATATATATTATGTATATATCGTATTTTAACATTATACTGTACAATACAACATGCTGCACGGAGGTGGTCAGATATTATATTATTATTATTTCATTTTATTTTTTCCAATCCGCCGCCGTCGCCGTAATACCATAATAATAATATTAATAATAATAATAATAATAATAATAATAATTGCAATATTGATTATTGTTGCGGCGGGATGATGCCCCGGGCCCGTTCCGTGTCGTTTCGTAACACGTACAACTAGTATACAGCAGTGGTGTGTAAAAATCGATTAGACCAATTATTATATGATAATATTATCGAAAATAATTGACAATCTCACTTCACCCATCGTCTCAAAACGAATCTTCAGTACAACAGTGACAGGTTGCATAAGACTTAAAAACTAGTCATAGCCTACTGATAACCGTGATAACCTACTGTTTTCATTTTTTTATCAAATAATTGTTTTAATTACTCTGATATGCCTTTTATAATGGCCCATCACTTATGAAGTTATATTATGCTTACTGTGTAAAATTATGTTTTTTTATTACATAATATGTCGGGTTCGTCGTTTATTGCTATCAATCTTCTACCTACCGTATAATTTATACCTAAAACAATGATGCGTGTTATATAGCTGTGGTATATTACTCCTTATATTGTAGGTTATTATATGAAAAGCTTCATTATAGCTATACAGATAACCACCACGTGGGTTAGTACTTAGCAGATAAATACAGGCCTTATATATAAAAGGAGTGGTTACTGACCTTAATTTTAAGAGTTGAAAATATACGAAGCGAACGAAGTTGTTAAGCATGTTTATAATATATAAAGACAATTTTTTCATTTTACAATAAATGAAGGAAATTTTTTTTTACACTACACAGAACATTATTGTTCAGGTGCACATCAAGGAATCCGATTTCACTTTTAAGAAGTGTTTTAATGTTACATTAATTAGTTAAATTATAAAATTAGTGCCAAGTTCCGCATGCGTCTCTAGAGCCTCATTATGACCTCTCCCCTTGTTATATAATATACCCATTGACTGCCCCTAACTATTATATCACTAACATTATGCACCGTGAGCCGAATGCATTGTATGATTAAGTGACCGATTTACGCAGGCAGTTATTTACATGTAATGAAGTAAAATTTCATTATAACGAAATCGCTTAGAACAAATGATTTTGCCGTTATTGAGAAGTTTCCATTTAAGGAGACTAACAATTAAACGAGATTAAGCTGGTTAAACGGGACTGTAGTTGTTATTTTCTGGAGAATCTTATAAGGCAGGGATTCCCAACCGCCGTGCCGCGGCGCATAAGTGTGCTGTGGAATTATTTAGGTGTGCCATATAATTTGTGTCTTACATTGTAATTGTTTAATAGAAATCTCCTAAAAATAAAAATTGATAAAATATCCAAATGGATATACAAACAGCTATTATTACCATTTTCCACATCATGCCTTTGTAAACAGGCATTTTCTGCTCTGAACAATATAAAAACAAGTAGTAGAAATCGTTTGAAAAATGTTGAACCTGATTTGTGTCTTGCTGTTTCAACTGTTTCACCCCGAATAGAAGAATTATGTAAAAAATATCAGTCTCAAATATCACATTAAAATAATAAATAAAAAAATTTATTATATATCAATATTATGGCATTATGTATTTCATTATTATTTATTTGTGTGCCGTGAAAATTTTTAAAATTATCAAGTGCGCCGTTAGGTAAAAAAAGGTTGGGAATCCCTGTGAAGAAGGATCTGTTACAAGGATGTTTTGGTGTATCTATATTTTATAATATATAATTATCGCTTATAATAAAATGTGGGTCACGGGGATAGGACCAAATCTGAACTGGATTTTTTCATCACAAGAAGTGAGTCAATAAATCTTCAGGCGAGCTCATTTGATCCGTTGACCAATAGAGTGTCGTTCACCATAATATGTTCACATATTATAAAATAGGTACAAAAAATCAGAAATTGTATTTTATTTATTCGAATTTTGCTCTAGCGCACACTCTCAAAATTGTTAAGACTGGCATGCTTTGTGCTATGAATAAGATGATAAATATCATAATAATATGCTCGATTTTATTTCTAAAACTTGGGAGTTCATTCCCTGCTAAGAAGTATCAATAAAATGGTTGCTTGTCTAAAATATTCCGGATTATTTTCATCATTTTCATCCCTTGTTCCTACGGCTCACTCTGTACTATCACTAGCGACCTCTAACGCATGGGTCCGATTTGAATTCACGTAGCAGACTTATAATGAGTATAAACGTCTGCGGTTGTATACACTATACAGATTAACCCCCAAAAAACGTCTACTGAAATTTTGCGCACAAAAATATATTTTATAATATTATAATTAATGTAGCTGTATTGAAGAAAACCGTCAGTTAGTAATATCCTAACAAGAATGATAGTCGATATAAGAAGACATTTTAACGATTTTTCGAATAAAAACCACCAGGTACGTGAATATTACATAAACAAAACACTATAACACTATACTTATACGTTAGTAATGTCATATACATATAATATTATTATTATTATTATTATTATTATTACGGTGTCATTTAAAAACCATTGAAATGTGCAAAATGTGAGTTTCGATTATGGTCAAAAAGAACATAATATTATAGGTACTTAACCATGTTTTTCGTACCGTAAATTTACTTGCATACATGTAGGTAATATCAAGTAATATTATTATAGTACGTATTTACTGAGAATCGTTATAGAGCAATAA